AATGAAATTATCAATTTTTATGCAATTCTAAAATTTGTTCATAAGTTACATTTTCAATTTTTGTCAATCTATTTGCATACATTGTTGTTGTTAAAAAAAAACCCCCCACCCTACGGCAACGTTTGGCAAACGTTGTCGTTGATAGATACGGTAACATATCTATCAACGTTCAAAAAACGTTGCCATATCTCTCTACTCTACGACAATACCTCGATTTGCAACACATGTCCAAACATTGCCGTAGGCCTACGGTAATATTTTTTGAACGTTGCCGTAGGCTGTTTTTAATGTAGTGAACTAGATAACACAAACAATAGTGATTGCATTCAATCTATTTAAACATTTTTCTTAAGATTCAATAACCTCTATCGCAGAAAATCATCAAATCCTAGTGCTTTACAAGTTCAAGGGATGAAATAATTACGAATTTGATATTTAACTTAGCGGTAGATTGTAATGAATAACAAACTAGTGGCCTCCTAGCAATTAAATATAACAATCATGAAAATAAGTGTAGAAGAATATTCAATGCGCAAAATAAGAATTAAACAATAAGAAAAAATATTTAGATCTCACAATATGTGGTTCCGATGCTTCAATTTCCTTTGTCCAAGTATAAAAATTTAGTTATAATTCATGAATCTAAGAGATAAATAATGAAGAATGGAGTTTGGAGGCATTCTGTACGTTCTTCCCCGTTCTAGGGTTTTAAAATATGTATTTATAGTTGTTTCCATAGGTAGTTGACTTAAATTCGGAAACTGGAGATTCGTCTATGAAAAATACCTGTGCGCGCATGCCATATATTTCCTTGCCCATGTGCCGTTCATTGGTTTTAGGCTCGATAAGTAAAATTCATGCCCGTGCACGCGCGAGAGAATTTGCCTGCGCACGTGCACAGGTTTGTCTCCGAATAGTGTTCAATATTTTAGTCATAACTTTCTCCATATATATCCGATTGAGTTGGTTCAAAATGCGTTGGAAATATAACTCAAAGGGATACAACTTTTATTCAGATACCATCTTCCAATTCGATCGTTTTCCATATAAAAAATGGGTCTCAAACTGAGACTGAAAATTCGATGCATAACTTTTCGATTGGAAATTGATGTGTGATCCCACTTTGACGATATTTCACCCCTTTGACTTCTTTATTCATCTAATTGACCTCTAACACTCTCAAATCTTCATTGTGAGATTCAAATATGACTTTTGAGTATTTTTAATTTAATCTCCGAAATTTCGTTTTCTTTCATTTTGGTCATTTTCCACTTATTTTTTCCAAATTACTCTATATCCATCAAATTGCCACCTAAATCAAATATGAGATTAATAAATATATTTTGGCATAAAATAATCATACAAGCACATAAAATAAGGAGGGAAAAATATGTATTTTACATTCCTATCAGCAAATCACATATGCGAGCGCGACTTGTGTACACGAATGTCGGACCGAANGGATCAAATAATGGACCGAAATAGGTTTCGGACCTTGAACTCTTATGCGAGCGCAACCTGCATACACGAATATCAGACCGAAAGGAGCAAAATTGGCCCCTTAGGAGTGTCCACGTTTTGCTACATTTTTGTTTTATTCAAGTGACTTTTCATTTTTTTGAAACGATTGAAACTCCTATGGTAATTGCCATTAAGTGAATGGGCAAGTTACGATTACAAGAGCCAAGTCTTTATATGTCTTGTTTTCCACTTTTCAAAAACACACGAATTCATCTGAAAATACAAGGAAAAAAAACTGTCTGCATACATTTTTAATTTCTGTTTGAGTCTTGGAGGTGGTATTGTTCAGTCACTAAATCAGTTCGTCGAAGTAGTATCTGTAGTGCTCAGAATCTACTAGTTTTGTCGTTGTATCCTGGGAAATGGATGCTCGAGTAAACCTTAAGCACAAACGGTGAGGGGATGAATCTGTTTAAGGAAACTGTGTATAACACATGCCTCGAGTTAAAAGTTTTATCGTTTAATTTATTTTTTTCCTTGTTTGTTACTCTTTTTGCATATTGATATTTTGCCGTTCTCTTTAAATTACTTGTTACGTCTTACTGTAATTAACAAATCATTGAATCTGCCAGATTATTAAATCTGTTATATATAATTGAATCTATTATATTCAAAGTTATATGCAAAAAGGGTATGTGAAAATCCAGTGTTTAAATTCACTACATATATTGTATGCTCCAATCCGGTATTAAAACTATAAATCCGGTATCCAATGTGTAAATCCAGTATCTAGTACTGAAACACTTATCAAACACTTTCTACTATATATTGATGTGTCCCATAATAGTCTAAAGGGAGAAATTCCCTCGAGGGGACGTTTTGCAAACTTCAATGCTCAATCGTTTATGACAAATCTCTCTACAGTGAAACTCGACAACAATTTCCATCTTGTGGAAATATTCTTAAAAAATCAAGGTCAAAGAATGAAATCTTGCTAATGAAATATATTCTTCCTCCTCTCCTTCTAGTAATCCTTGTAGTCATCGTGACAATTTTGATGATAAGAAGACAAAAATTGAACACTCTACCCGATAGTGTATTTTCATTACAACTTGCATGGAGAAGGATTTCTTATCGAGAACTTAAAGAAGCAACAAATACGTTTAATGAAAGCAACATACTTGGAAGTGGAAGTTTTGGTTTGGTATATGGAGGGACACTTTCTGATAGGTTAAATGATGCGGTGGAAGTGTTCAATTTGCAGTTGGAAGATGCTAGATTAACGAGGAGCTTTGCTACAGAAAGTCGAGTACTCGGTAGCATTCGTCATAGGAATTTAGTGAGAATCATCGGATGTTGCAGTAATACAGAGTTCAAAGCCTTGATAATGGAGTACATGCCTAATGGGAGTCCGGATAAATGGTTATTCCTCCAACTATTTCTTGGACATTCTTAAGAGTTTAAATATAGCGATTGATGTTGCATTAGCTTTAAAATATTTGCATCATTTTCATACATTCACCATTGTACATTGTGACTTAAAGCCTAGCAACGTTTTGAAGGAATAGTATCCACTAGTAGCAATGTCTACAGTTATGGTATTTTACTGCTGGAGATTTATATGAGGAAAAAGCCAACGGATGCGATGTTTGGCGAAGAAATGATCTTGAAAAGTTGGGTTAGCCATTCATTAGCTGAGAATACAATAACTAAAGTTGTGGATGACAATTTGCTCGGAAAAGAAGACGAGAATTTCTCTAGAAAGGAGCAATGCGTCTCATCCATTTTGGCTTTGGCAATCAAGTGTTTGCATGATACTCCTAGAGAAAGAATAAATACGAGAGAAGTTGTGACTAGGCTTCGAAAGATTAAAGCTACATTTCTAGCAAGATAGAACAGTTTTGACACTAAATAGAGGTTCCCAATTCTCTAACAAATTTGGATGTTCCTAACCGGTAGCTTTGATCAATTAATGAACCGGCAATAATAAATGCAAATTTAGTTTTTGAATAAATGTAGTTTTAAATTTAAATTGACAACTCTGTTTATTCTGAATGGTTTTCTTTCCTTATTTTTAAGCCAAACATAGACATTGTCCGGTTGTGTGCTCATATAGTATAGTTGTACTGTTATAAAATTACAATTTTTTAATGAATAAATTCAATTTTATTTATTAATTACTATTATTGTATTTTACTGAATATTGAGTATGTGAGTTAAAGTGTTTATAATAACTTGTGCTAATATAAGTAGGGCGTTGTTGGATTGATTCTGTAAACATACGGATCGTGACAAGTAATAAAATGAATTTTCAAGTCCAAATATTGATCCTGCAGAGACTAAATACTTACTATCATTTTTCCCCCTAATCTAGCTTAAATCCAAATTAATGTGGTAACCTATTATCAAATTCAGGGGTGTATATCATAACTAATCTCTACTAAGCTAATCTAAATCTATCTACTATTTACTAAGTTGTGGAGCACTAATAGGTTTATGTGGTTAGTAATTCCGATTTCATTAGGTTATATAACATTAAATCAGTACAATTTTATTTAGCCCATTCTTCCTATGTATTCATAATTGAATTAACCAATTTTAGTTAATAGTCTTTCTCGAGCAAAATTAGCCATATTCACATGCTCAAATTTACTATATGTTCTATGTAAATTCATAATATGTAAAATCATTCAATTATAGGAATTTAACAATGATTTCATATAATCACCTCTCAATCTCTTATAAAACGTATGTCACTTATTGCACGAACTAGATACAGTCTCATCAACGTACTTAAATTAAGTAATTGGTGATCAAGCAATTGAATGCAAATCAAACACATAATAAGCAATCAACACATAATCAAACTTGTATGGAATCAATTGAATTAAATAATCATTAAACCTAAGTAATCAAACTCTCAGACGCTGATGAAACCCCTTTGTAACCAAGTGAGCTTTGTACCTATCAACAGATCCATTAGATAAATGCTTAGTACGAAAAGCCCATTTACAACCAACCAGATTTTGTGTTGGATCAGAGGGAACTAGTTCTGATGCCCTATTCTGAACCAGAGTATCATACTCATCAGAAATTGTCTTACGCCACTTGGGATCCTTGATGGCCTGATTCATGGATGAGGGTTCAATGTCATTAGAAGTAGTGAGCTGAGTAGTTAGGTTCAATTTAGTGATTGGCTTGTGATAAGTGTGTTTTTACACACTTATTTAGCACTTTTAGCATTTAATTGGGATTTAAATTGAGTTGATTTCTATACAGAATTGTGCAATTTTGTATGTTGTAGGCTTTGTACCCGAATTC